GCCCACAGAAACTTTAGTCCAGGGCCACAGAATTGTTACTCAGGGACAGACACAGAATTGTTACTCCCCACGAGGCCACAGCACAGAACTGTTACTTAGGCCACAGAATTGTTACACAGGACAGACACAAGAATTGTTACTGAGGGCCACAGAACTGTACTTAGGGCCACAGAATTGTTACTCTCCGCACAGACACAGAATTTGTTACTCAGGGACAACTGGACAGAATTGTTACTGAGGGCCACAGAACCGTTACTTAGGCCACAGAATTGTTACTCTCAGTTTCTTAGCCAACAGACACAGTAAAAATTGTTACATAGGACACAGATCCCTACAACCCCCCAAAAACACAAACCCCACCCCTACCCACCACCAAACCAACAACAAACCCAAACCAACAAACCAACCCACCATCCAACCACAGAACCCCCCCCTTATTCCCACCACAGACAACAGAATTGTTACTCCCAGAACTTTACTTAGGGCCAACAACCCTGTTTTTACCCCTCAGACACAGAAACCCCCCTTGTACCATCCACCCCACAGAATTGTTACTGAGGGCCACAGAACCGTTACTTAGGGCCACAGGAATGTTTACCAAACAGGGACACACAATTTCCCCCAATAGGGCCACCCTCAGAACCACTTTACTTAGGCCCATACCCCCCCCCATTGGGCTCCCCTGAGGCCGCTACAACTGTTACCCCCTTAGGAGCCAAAAATTGTTACTTCGCAACAGACACACCACCTTGTTACTCAGGGGAAAAACTAACACAGTAACTCCTAGCCCCCAGAACCACTCACCCCAGGTCCCAAATTGTTACTAACCACAGACACAGATTTGTTACTCAGGAACCCAGAACACATTACTGAGGGCCACAGAACCCACCATGTTACTTAGGGCCCTATCAGAATTGTTACCCCTCTCCACAGACCCAGAATTTCATTACTCAGCGGACACAGAATTGTTACCTGAGCGGCCACAGAACCCTCGTTACTTACCCCCACCCAGTCAATTGTTACTCCCCTCCCTACGTCTCGACCACAGAATTGTTACACAGGGACACGGAATTGTTACTGAGGCCCACACAACCGTTACCTTAGGGGCCACAGAATTGTTACTCAGGACACAGAATCTGTTACTGAGGGCCACAGACTGACTTTTTTTTTTTTTTTTTTTTTTTTTTTTTTTTTTTTTTTACTTAGGGCCACAAATTGTTTACTCTCCCAGACACAGGCCCATTTTTACCCCAGGGCCACAAATTGTTACTGAGGCCACAGAACTGTTACTTAGGGCCAACAGAATTGCCCCCCCCCTCTCCCCACCTACACAAATTGGTTACACAGGACACAGAACTGTTACTGAGGGCCAACCCCCCGAACCGTTACCTTAGGGCCACAGAATTGTTACTACCGCACAGACACCGAATTGGTTACACAGGAACCCACCGAACGATACAGAGGCCACAGAACCCGTTACTTAGGCCACCGAATTGTTACTACAGGGACACAGAATTGGTTATTGAGGGCCACAGAACTGTTACTTAGGGCCACAGAATTTGTTACAACTCGCACAGACACAGAATTGTTACTCAGGGAACACAGAACGTGTTTACTTAGGGCCACAGAATTGTTACTCGCCACAGACCTCCAGAATTAAGTTACACAGGGACACAACCAAAGGTTGTTACTGAGGGCCACAGAAACCGTGTTACTTAGAGCCACTGAATTGTTACTCAGGTGACACAGAATTGTTACTAGTCACAGACACAGAATTGTTACACAGGACACTAGAATTTGTTACTCTGAGGGCCACAGAACCGATACCACTTACGGCCACAGAATGTTTTACTGAGGGCCACAGAAACTGTTACTTAGGGCCCCAGAATTGTTACACTCCCTCCAGGCCTCAGACACAGAATAGTTAACTCAGGGACACAGAACTGTTACTGAGGGCCACAGAACGCGGCCTGTTACTTAGGGCCACAGAATTGTTACTACTCCACAGACACAGAATTTGTTACTCAGAGGACCACAGAACTGTTACATGAGGGCCACCAGAACATGTTACTTAGAGGGCCACAGAATTGTTACCCGCACAGACACAGAATTGGTTACACAGGACACAGAATTGTTACTGAGGGCCCGCGGGCCACAGAACCGTTTACTTAGGCCACAGAATTGTTTACTGAGGGCCACAAAACTGTTATCCACCTCCCAGGCCACAGAATTGTTACCACCCCCCCTCCCTCGCACAGACACAGAAATTTTTGACTCAGGGGACACAGAACTGTTTACTAGAGGGCCACTGAACCGTTACTTAGGGCCACAGAATTGTTACTCAGGGAACCACAATCGTTTTAATAAAGAGTATGTCAGACAACATGGCAGAGGAGTGGCAGAGGAGGCAAATGTTTTAGGAGCGAGCAGACCTGTGCTGCAGCAGAGTGAAAGGGTCGAGCCAGCACTATTCGCAGCCAGCTGGCCTAGTGGTCTCCCCGGTTGTCATCCAGTACAGTGAGGAAGAGCTAACAGAGGGCGGGTCAGGAACGGGGGGAGACATCCGCCTCTTCAGCAGCCAGGCGAAGAAGTAGTGGCGAGGAGAGTGGCTCGGTAGCCGGTTAGAGACAGGTCTGTCTCCGACCCCACACGCAGCCGAGGGGCCTAGTAGTGAGGCGCGGACCCCTAATTGATGAAGATGAGGCCTGATCGCACTTGCAGCCTCGTCCGTCCATCAGGCTATTGCTTCCCCCATCATCAGGAGAAGAGGGTGGCAGCTTGGCAGCGAGCAAAACAGTCGGTGGGTTGTCTCCATCGCCACACTCTGCCATGTGCCACTTTCAGGTCTCCTCACACACTGCTGGTGTGTTGAATTTTTTGACATAGGGTTGCTGGCAGATTACGGGCCTACCCATAGCTGCTGCCCAAGCCCCTAATCTGCCATGGGCCCCTATACCCCGCCTCCTCATGCTGCTGCCCAGGTCACAGTCTCTCATGCCATGTGCGCCACTTTCAGGTCTCCCTCACACTGCTGGGGTGTTTGAATTTTTTGACATAGGGTGGCCTGGCAGATTACGGTGCCTCCCCCCCCACTGCTGCCCAGGCCCCTAATCTGCCATGGGCCCCTATAACCGCCTCCTCATGCTGCTGCCCGTAAGAACCCCCCCCAGGTCCAGAGTCTCTCATGGTCCCCCTGTACGGCCTCCCATTGCTGCTGTCTCCCATCGCCACACTCTGCCATGTGCCACTTTTCAGGTCTCCTCACACACTGCTGGTGTGTTGAATTTTTTGACATAGGGTGCTGGCAGATTACGGGCCTCCCATAGCTGCTGCCAGGCCCCTAATCTGCCCATGGGCCCCCCCCTATACCGCCTCCTCATGTCTGCTGCCCAGGGTCCACAGTCTCATCATGCCATGTGCCACTTTCAGGTCTCCTCCTCACACTGCTGGTGTGTTGAATTTTTTTTGACATAGGGTGCTGGCAGAATTACGGGCCTCCCATACTGCTGCCAGGCCCCTATCTCCCAATGGGCCCCTATATACCCAAACCCGCCTCCTGCTGCTGCCCAGGTCCAGAGTCTGTCATGGTCCCTGTACGGCCCCCCATTGCTGCTGTCTCCCATCGCCACACCTCTGCCGATGTGCTACTTCAGGGTCCTCCCACACCTGCAGTGTGTTGAATTTTTTGACCATAGGGTGCTGGCAGATTACGGCCTCCCATAGCTGCCTGCCAGGGCCCCTAATCTGCCATGGCCCCCTATAACCGCCGCCTCCTCATGCTGCTTGCCAAGGTCCACAGTCTCCTCATGCCATGTGCCACTTTTCAGGGTCTCCCTCACACTGCTGGTGTGTTGAATTTTTTTGACATAAGGGTGCTGGCAGATTACGGCCACCCATAGCTGCTGACCAGGCCCCTAATCTGCCATGGGCCTCTATATACCCGCCTCCTCATCTCTGCTGCCAAGTCCTTGAGTCCTGTCCATGGGTCCCTGTACGGCCCCCTCCCATTGCTGCTGTCTCCAATCGCCACACTCTGCCATGTGCCACTTTCATGGTCTCCTCCACACCCTGCTGGTGTGTTGAATTTTTTTTTTGACATAGGGTGCTGGCCAGATTACCGGGCCATTCCCATAGCCTGCTGCCAGCCCCTAATCTGCCATGGGCCCCTATAAACCCAACCAACCTCACCGCCGATCATCATGCTGCTGCCAGTCCACAGTCTCTCATGCCATGTGCCACTTTCAGGTCTCCTCACACATGCTGCGTGTGCTTGAATTTTTTGACATTAAGGGTGCTGGCAGATTACCGGGCCTCCCATAGCTGCTGCCAGGCCCCTAATCGCCATGGGCCCTATATACCGCCTCCTCATGCTGCTGCTCAGGATCCAGGAGTCTGTCATGGTCCCTGTACGGCCTCCCATGCTGCTGTCTCCATCGCCACAAACTCACTGCCATGTGCCACTTTCAGGTTCTCCTCACACACTGCTGTGTGTTGAATTTTTTGACATAGGGTGCTGGCAGATTACGGGCCTCCCATAGCTGCTGCCAGGCCCCTAATCTGCCATGGGCCCCTATACCACCGCCTCCTCATGCTGCTGCCAAGTCCAGAGTCTCTCATGCAATGTGCCACTTTTCAGTCTCCTCACACTGCAAGCGTGTGTGTTGAATTTTTTGACATAGGGTGCTGGCAGATTACGGGGCTCTCCCATAGCTGCTGCCAGGCCCCTAATCTGCCATGGGCCCCTATATACCCCACCCCCCCCCCCGCCTCCTCATGCTGCTGCCAAGTCCCAGAGTCTCTCATGGGCTCCCTATACGGGCCTCCCATTGCTGCTGTCTCCATATCGCCACACTCTGCCATGTGCCACTTTCAGGTCTCCTCACCACACTGCTGGTGTAGTAGAATTTTTTTGACATAGGGTGCTGGCAGATTACGGGCCTCCTATAGCTTGCTGCCAGGCCCCTAATCTGCCATGGGCCCCTATATACCGCCTCCTCATTTGCTGCTGCCAGTCCAGAGTCTCTCATGGGTCCCTGTACGGCCTCCCATTGCTGCTGTCTCCATCGCCACACTCTGTCCATGTGCACTTTCAGTTCTCCTCACACTGCTAGGTGTGTAAAATCTTTTTGACATAGGGTGCTGGCAAGATACGGGCCCTCCTATAGCTGCTGCCAGGCCCCTAATCTGCCATGGGCCCCTATATACCGCCTCCTCATGCTGCTGGCCCAGGTCCAGAGTCTCTCATGGTCCCTGTACGGCCTCCCATTGCTGCTGTCTCCATCGCCACACTCTGCCATGTGCCACATTCAGGTCTCTTCACACATGCTTTGTGTTTTCAATTTTTTGACATAGGGTGCTGGCAGATATACGGGCCTCCCACAGCTGCTGCCAGCCCCTTAATCCTGCCATGGGCCCCTATATACCGCCTCCTCATGCTGCTGCCCAAGTCCAGAGTCTCTCATGGGTCCCTATATACGGCCATCCCATTGCTGACCTGTCTCCATCACCACACACTCTGCCATGTGCCACTTTCAGGTCTCCATCCACACACTGCTGGTGCTGTTGAATTTTTTGACATAGGGTGCTGGCAGATTACGGGCCTCCCATAGCAGCTGCCAGGCCCCTAATCTGCCATGGGCCCCTATATTACCGCCTCCTCATGCTGCTGCTGCTAGGTCCCAGAGTCTGTCATGGGTCCCTGTACGGCCTCCCCATTGCTGCTGTCTCCATCGCCACAAAAACTTCTGCCATGTGCCACTTTCAGTCTCCTCACACACTGCTGGTGTGTTGAAGTTTTTTGACATAGGGTGCTGGCAGATTACGGGCCTCCCATAGCTGCTGCCAGGCCCCTAAATCTGCCATGGGCCCCATATACCACGTGCCTCCTCATGCTGCTGCCAGTCCAAGTCCCAGAGTCTCTCATGCATGCCAATGCCACTTTCAGGTCTCCTCACAACTGCTGGTGTGTTGAATTTTTTGACATAGGGGTGCCTGGCAGATTACGGGCCTCCCATAGCTGCTTAGGCCAGGCCCCTAATCTGCCATGGGCCCCCTATATACCGCCTCCTCATGCTGCTAGCCAAGTCCAGTATCTCTCATGGGTCCCGATACGGCCTCCCATTGCTGCTGTCTCCATCGCCACTCTGCCATGTGCCACTTTCAGGTCTCCTCACACACTGGCAGGTGTGTAGAATTTTTTTGACTATAGGTGCTGGCAGATTAACGGGCCTCCTATATGCTGCTGCCAGGGCAATGGCCCCTAATCTGCCATAGGGCCCCTATATGAACCGCCTCCCTCATGCTGCTGCCAGGTCCAGAGTCTCTCATGGGTCCCCTGTACGGCCTCCCATATTGCTGCTGTCTCCATCGCCACACTCTGCCATGTGCCAACTTTCAGGTTCTCCCTCACACTGCTGGTGTGTAAAATTTTTTGACATAGGGTGCTGCAGGCAGAATTACGGGCCTCCTATAGCTGCTGCCAGGCCCCTAATCTGCCATGGGCCCCTATATACCGCCTCCTCATGCTGCTGCCAGGTCCAGAGTCTCTCATGGGTCCCTGTACGGCCTCCCCCCATTGCTGCTGTCCTCCATCGCCACACTCAATGCTGCCATGTGCCACATTCAGGTCTCTTCACACTGCTTGTGTTTTCAATTTTTTGACATAGGGTGTGCTGGCAGATTACGGGCCTCCCACAGCTGCTGCCCAGGCCCCCTAATCTGCCATTGGGCCCCTTATATACCGCCTCCTCATGCTGCTGCCAAGTCCAGAGTCCTCATTTACGGGTCCCTATACCGGCCTCACCATTTGCTGCTGTCTCCATCACCACACTCTGCCATGTGCCACTTTCAGGTCTCCTCACACACTGCTGGTGTGTTTGTAATTTTTTGACATAGGGTTGCTGGCAGATTACGGCCTCCCATAGCTGCTTGCCAGGCCCCTAATCTGCCATGGGCCCCTATATAACCGCCTCCTCATGCTGCTGCCAGGACAGGTCCAGAGTCTCTCATGGGTCCCCTGTACGGCCTCCCATTGCTGCTGTCTCCATCGCCACACCTCTGCCATGCGGTTGTTTCCTCTTCAGTTTTTCAGTCTCCTCACACACTGCTGGTGCCTTGGTAGCAATTTTTTGACATTAAGGGATGCTGGCAGATTACGGGCCCCCTCCTATAGCTGCTGCCAGGCCCCTAATCTGCCATGGGCCCCTATAAATACCGCCTCCCTCATGCTGCTGCCAGTCCAGAGTCCTCTCATGGGTCCCTGTCGCCCTCCCATTGCTGCTGTCTCCATCGCCACCACACTCTGGTTCCATGTGCCACTTTCAGGTCTCTCCTCTCACACACTGCTGCCTGGTGTGTAGAATTTTTTGACATAGGGTGCTGGCAGATTTACGGGCCTCCTATTAGCTGCTGCCAGGCCCTCTAATCTGCCATGGGCCCCTATATACCGCCTCCTCATGCTGCTGCCAGGTCCAGAGGCGTCTCTCATGGGTCCCTGTCTACGGCCCTCCCATTGCTGCTGTCTCCATCGCCACACTCTGCCATGTGCCACTTTCAGAGGTCTTCCTCACACACTGCTGGTGTTTGTAAAATTTTTTGACATAGGGTGCTGGCAGATTACGGGCCTCCCATAGCTCTGCCAGGCCCCTAAATCTGCCATGGGCCCCTATATACCGCCTCCTCATGCTGCTGCCAAGTCCAGAGTCTCTCATTGGGTCCCTATACGGCCTCCCATTGCTGCTGTCTCCATCGCCACACTCTGCCATGTGCCCACTTTCAGGTCCTCACACACTGCTGGTGTGTTGAATTTTTGACAATAGGGTGCTGGTAGCAGATTACGGGCCTCCTATAGCTGCTGCCAGGCCCCTAATCTGCCATGGGCCCCTATATACCCGCCTCCTCATGCTGCTGCCAGGTCCAGAGTCTCTCATGGGTCCCTGTACGGCCTCCCATTGCTGCTGTCTCATCCATCGCCACACTCTGCCATGTCCACTTTCAGGTCTCCTTCACACTGCTGGTGTGTAGAATTTTTGGACATAGGGTGCTTGGCAGATTACGGGCCTCCTTAGCTCGAGCTGCTGCCAGGCCCCTAATCTGCCATAGGCCCCTAATATACCCACCTCCTCATGCTGCTGCCAGGTCCAGAGTCTCTCATGGGTCCCTGTACGGCCTCCCATTGCTGCTGTCTCCATCGCCACACACTCTGCCATGTGCCCACATTCAGGTCTCTTCACACTGCTTGTGTTTTCAATTTTTTGACATAGGGTGCTGGCAGATTACGGGCCCCCCATAGCTGCTGCCAGGCCCTAATCTGCCATGGGCCCCTATATACCGCCCTCCTCATGCTGCTGCCAAGTACAGAGTCTCTCATGGGTCCCCTATACGGCCTCCCATTGCTGCTGTCTCCATCGCCACACTCTGCCATGTGCCACTTTCAGGTCTCCTCACACACTGCTGGTGTGTTGAATTTTTTTGACATAGGGTGCTGGCAGATTACGGGCCTCCTATAGCTGCTGCCAGGCCCCTAATCTGCCATGGGCCCCCTATATACCGCCTCCTCATGCTGCTGCCAGGTCCAGAGTCTCTCATGGTCCCTGTACGGCCTCCCATTGCTGCTGTCTCCATCGCCACACTCTGCCATGTGCCACTTTCAGGGTCTCCTCACACTGCTGGTGTGTTGAATTTTTTGACATAGGGTGCTGGCAGATTACGGGCCTCCTATAGCTGCTGCCAGGCCCCTAATCTGCCATGGGCCCCTATATAACCAGCCCCCCTCATGCTGCTGCCCAAGTCAGAGTCTCTCATGGGTCCCTGTACGGCCTCCCATTGCTGCTGCCAGGAGGCAGCAGGGTCGCAGCAGTGTCAGTGGAGGCAAACGGCCACGGAGTAGAGCACCAGCTCCACTGCAGCCTACCACCACGGCCAGTAGTGGTGCCGGTGTGCACGGAGGAAGTAGCAGTCAGCCAGTGAGGAGTAGCGGAGGCAAAGTTTCCTACTCTGCGGTGTGGCAATTTTTCGGTCAAGCCGCCCGAGTGGAAAGTAAACGTAGCCGTATGTCGACTATGTGGCCAGAAAGTCAAGCGTGGCCAGGGGGCCCATGTTGGGACTACAGCGTTGCGTCAGCATATGCAGCTCGCCATTCGGTGGCCTGGGAAAACCGTGATAAAGATACGGCGGTTCTGCCTGCCCCAGCCCAGGGTTCCATTTTATCATAGGGTGCTGGCAGATTACAGGCCTCCCATAGGTGCCGCCAGGCCCCAAATCGGCCATGGGCCCCCGTACCGCCTGGTCACGCTGCTGCTGAGCCCACAGTGTGACCTGGGTCCCTGTACGGCCTCCCATTGCTTCCACTCTGCCATGTGCCACTTTGAAATCTCCTCACACTCCTGCGGTTGTCCATTTTGTCATAGGTTGCTGGCAGATTACAGGCCTTCCATAGGTGCCACCAGGCCCCAAATCGGCCATGGGCCCCCGTGTACCGCCTGGTCACGCTGCTGCTGAGCCCACAGTGTGACCTAGGTCCCTGTACCGCCTCCCATTGCTCCCACTCTGCCATGTGCCACTTTGAGGTCTCCTCACACTGCTGGTGTGTTAAATTTTTTGACATAGGGTGCTGGCAGATTACGGGCCTCCCATTGCTGCTGCCAGGCACGTAATCTGCCATGGGCCCCCGTACCGACTCCTCATGCTGTGACGTTGCAACAAGGTGGAATTCAACACTACATATGTTAGACCGCCTTTACGAACAGCGAAAGGCCATCACAGATTTCCTGATGTTAAAAGCGGATAAAGGTACTCCCTGTGTAACTTAGATGTCAGCCATTGGCAGCTCATGCGTGACACCTGCGCTTGCTCAGGCCCTTTGAGGAGGCCACGCTATTCGTGAGTCGGCAGGACTATGGGATGAACGAGGTCAAATCGGCCATGGGCCCCCGTACCGCCTGTTCACGCTGATGCTGGTCCCACAGTGTGACCTGGGTCCCTGTACCGCCTCCCATTGCTCCCACTCTGCCATGTGCCACTTTGAGGTCTCCTCACACTCCTGCGGTTTTCCATTTTGTCATAGGTTGCTGGCAGGTTACAGGCCTCCCATAGGTGCTGCCAGGCCCCAAATCTGCCATGGGCCCCCGTACTGCCTGGTCACGCTGCTGCTGGGCCCACAGTGTGACCTGGGTCCCTGTACCGCCTCCCATTGCTCCCACTCTGCCATGTGCCACTTTCAGGTCTCCTCACACTCCTGCTGGTTTCCATTTTGTCATAGGTTGCTGTATGGCCTCCCATTGCTGCTGCCTCCACCGCCACACTGTGGCTCCAAACACTGGTTTTGGCCCCGTGACTGGCCAAATGAGTGAAGTGTGCGGTGATTCTAAGATCGACGGCACTCATCTGCATGTCATACTGAGTGACAGTATTATTTCTCTTCCCCAGCAGACTCCAAGGGCATTTAAATTAAAGGTACAGTGTTCTGCACTAATATAAAGGCTCTCTGAAGCCTAGAAACACCCTTTTTTAAGTTAAATTCACAGCGAATATATTCGACTCGAATCGAATATTGTCCACGAATTCGCCGAATCAGTCGAATCGAATTTTTCATTTTTCGCTCATCTCTATTGACAACATCCAAATCTATCTTTCTACTGCTCAGCATCACCAATTTACTCACTGACATATCATGGAAATCACATCCCTTCCTCAATCTCAATCTGTCCAAAACTGAGCTAATGATATTCTCCCTGTGTCCCTTGTTCAATGTCTCAATCATGATCAAAAGCACAATGATCAACTCCATCACTCAGACCAGTGTGCTAAGTGTAATTTTGGATTATGACCTCTTTTTTGGCCTCACAACCAATCTCTGTCCAAATCTTACTGCTGCAACAATTCCAAAATTCTCACCTTCTGAACAAAGGACACTGCAGAGTTTCTAGTTCACTTTCATGGTATACAGTATATGGCCTCGTCTATTGCAACTCCCCGCTCATTGGTCTACCTTCACACAGGCTTTGTGCCTTTCAGTCTATTATGAATGCTTTGACCAGAATTATTCACCTTACCAACCATTTAGTGGCCACCTGCCCAATGAATACAATTCTAAATCCTAAAAGTAACATACAAAGCCATCTACACCTCTGCTTCAAGCTACATCACTAACCTCATCTCAAAATATCACCCAAACCATTCTTCCCATTCCTCCCAAGACCTCTTACTCTCTTGAACCACTTCCCCTCCTCCCATGCTCTCTTCGAAGACTTTTCCAAAGCCTCTCCCTTTATCTGGAATTCCCTACCACAATCTGTTTACCTATCTTCTACTCTATCCACCGTTAGGAGAGCCTTGAAAACTAATTTCTTCAGAAAAGCACTGTGCAAACTGTTGGTGTTATACAAATCTTGTATAATAGTATTGATAGTTGTCATAGTAGTTGCGGTCTCTAAAAAAACTTGACCATATTTAATTGGACTGGGATTAAAGCAGTAGGGATATGCAAATGTAAAGGGTAATTCCTAATTGGTTGCGGGGTGAGCTTCAGCACCTGCAACACAACTAGAACCATTACAGCATATATGTGGGATTCCTTAAAGTGACTAAAGTCTAAATTTTTTTAATTGAAATAACAAACATGTTATACTTACCTGCTCTGTGCAATGGTATTGCAAAAAGCAGCCCCAATCCTCCTCTTCTCAGGTCCCCCACTAACGATCTTGGCTCCTCTTCTTTGTGTGTGCCTATAGCAAGCTGTCCACTAGGGTGCACACGGTGCATGCTCCCACCCAAGCTGTGTGTCTATGGAGCTGTGCTCCATAGACACACAGCTGGACTTAGCCCCACTTTTCCACTTCCTTGTCACTGCATTTGATTGACATCAGAAACCCAATGGCTCCTGCTGCTGTTCGAGTCTCTATGTGAAGAGGAAGAGAGGGAAGAAGAGATGCAGCCAAGCACAGTGCTGATCTTTTCTCCCCTCTCTTCTCCTTCACACAAGGAAACTGAAAAATGTTTTACCTTAAAGAGTTACTAAACCCAGGACCCTGCATTCACTATATTTGGTCTCCCACAGTACACAGAACATGGAAATGCAGTTATTTTAGTAAATATAAACTGTTAATACCTTTTCTCTCATCAGCGGTTAGAGCAGTCTTGTGACTTCAGCTGAGCACTGGTTAAAGCTTGTAGGAGGAGTTTTCTTTCTGCTCTAGGAAGATGCAGAACCCCTGACCTCTGTCTGGATAGTGCTGATTGGCCCTGTGCCAATCACATGCACTCTCCCAAGAAAAAAAACCTCTCTAGCAATACACACCAACCTGAGCATGTGCAGAATGGCTACGTGTTAAGTCGGTCTTATCAGGAGATAAGACATGGACTTTGAACATGGGGAGGGGCAGAGAAGAAAGTATCAAACAACCTTTTTACACAATGCAGAGGATTAACCCCTTAGGTTCCACAATGACTATAACAAGCATGCATTACTGCAAATACAGACTGATTTTACTGTTGTGGGTTTAGTAACACTTTAATGCAAGCAATGCTTTAAGGTTATAAAACATTTTTAGGTTTAGTATAACTTTAACCAAGTCTCCCAGAACTTCACAAATACAGAATACTTATGACTCCTAATTGCCAACAGCTTTTCCATACTACATTGCGGATTGAGATTGCTGACAACCTCTCTACATTCTGAAGCATCAGGTTATAACAAAAAAATCTGACCTGGAGGGATAAAGAATTAAATTACTTGGGAGTAAAGTTGACTCCATCACTTAGGAGTTTATATCAGACAAACTACATACCACTATTAAATGAGATAAAGGGGAAAAAAATCTCAAAAGGATCACTTTCCTGGATAGGATGAATAAATATGGTGAAGATGGAGAGAGTGCCTAAGATCCTGTATAAATTTCAAATGCTGCCAATATATCTGCCGCTAATGTATTTTAGGGCCTTGAAAGGAATGATAATGAGATATTTGTATATGGACAAATAAAAAACCAAGGGTGAAATATGAGGTATTATGTAAAGACAAAATAAATGGGGGTTTAAATGTGCCGGAGTTTTAAAAGATTTAATATTTTGCAGTATTGTTATCATGATTAATGGATTGGGTATATAATGCACGAGGAAAAAGTTGGATAAGGATTGAACAAAGATTGAACAAACACTAGGTGAAGCAAAATTAGATAAAATTATTTCAGTTCCACAACATTATCGGATGCTGTCTGAAAACACTAGTACTTTAACCTCTTCCATACAGGGCACTTTTACCTCCTTCCTGCCCATGCCAATGTTCAGGTTTCAGCGCTCTCACACTTTGAATGACAATTGTGCGGTCATACAACATTGTACCCAAATTAAAATTTTATCATTTTCTTCACACAACTAGAGCTTTCTTTTGGTGGTATTTAATCACCGCTGGGGTTTTTATTTTTTTTCCAAATTAACAAAAAAAGACCGAAAATTTTGAAAAGAAAAAAAAACACATCTTTCTTTGTTTCTGTTATAAAAGTTTGCAAATAAATAATAGTTCTTCAGAAATTTAGGCCGAGATGTATTCTGCTACATGTCTTTGGTGAAAATAACCCAAATTAGGATGTATTTTTTAGTTTGTAGGAACTATGGGATATATCTGAATATTGATCAATCCTGAAGTACTGACAGCCAATCTAATTTCTTGAGGTCCAAGAATGTCAGAATAGTACAGATATCCCCCAAATGACCCCTTTTTGCAGAGTAGACAGTCCGACGTACTTCATAAGAGGCATGGCGAGTTTTTTGAAGTTGTATTTTTTTTGTCATAATTTTATTAAAATTAAAAAATGTAAAAAATGATTTTCACTATTTTTTTTTTTTTACTTACTGTCACCAGTGCAGTACAGCATCACCATATAACTGGCATGGTGGTGATCAGGGACACTGACTGGTGACAATATGAAAAAAAAATATGATTTTTTTTTTTTTATTATTATTTTTAATTTTTTATAACTTTTTTCTTTTTTTAAGATTTTTTTTTATATTTCACTGTGACCAAAGTAGTACAATGTTACCATAGTAACATTGTACTACTTTGGGGAAGTGATCAGTATTTTGTTTTTAAGCAAGCATTTACCTGAATGACATTGATTCATTCAGGGTTTTTTTTTTTTGTGCTTAGCTGTGATTTGGCCAGGGCTAATCACATGACACAGCTGGTCTGTGATTGGCCCAGCTTGTGCATGTGATCGCTGTGACCATTCACAGCTAGACACACTAGTATACAATGGATGGCATGAATGAAGCCATCCGTTGTATACAACTGTCATGTGACCTGCTGTGATTGGTCACAGCAGGTCACATGGTACCAGCAACGGGGCCGGTACTCAGATCTGTCATCGGCCGTGTCCGAGGTATATGGCCGGTGATGGATCGCGCTGCTGCGCGGCACTGCAGGCGCACACACTGCTCATGCCCGAAAGGACGCCATATGGCATCCACCCGGAAAGGTGAGTGTTTTTGCCGGCCGCCATTCAGCCATAGGCCGGGCAGGAAGAGGTTAATAAGAAATGTATTTAGGGTATGGGATTTCATTCATAAACAAAATGGATGGGGGTTTAATTCACCACTAATACCACTGGAGGGAACAAATTATTTTCCACCGGGCAAGAGAACTATAGCAGGAACTTGGATTAAAGATAGGAAAGCACGGGTAAAGGATATTATGAAAAATAGGGAAAGAGGTACTTTACTAGAGTTGAAACAAAAAAAGGACACGTTTTATGTGCTAGATGATGGCGGTACTGTCAATTAAGGGATTTTGTGGCATCACTCCCACAGCCATTGAGAAGGGTTGAAAACATGTACCCATTTGAGCAATTGTTATACTCAGGTGGAATACAAAAACATTGTACTTCACGTATTTCTAAGATACTGACTATAATATCTAAATCAATACTCCCAGCATACATGGGAAAATGGAAAAAATGAGTTCAGAACACAGCTGAGTGAGCAACAGAGAAGGAATATATCTGGAATTGCACATGGGGCAGTTGATATGAATACAGTGGAGATGAATTATACATTTCTGGCAAGATGGTATGTTACCCCGAGTAGTGCTCCTAAGCAACACCCAGATAATTCTTTATATTGCTGGAGGGGATGTGGAATGGAGGTTACAATAGTACATGTATGGTGGGAATGTCCCAAAATACAGGAATTCTGGCAGGAGGCAATACAACAAATAGTTGAGATCAAGAGAGAGGGTATATTAAAAGATCCATGGGTGTGCTTATTCCACAATACTGATTTAACAGTGAAACAACATTAGAGCACGATGATACCTCATTTAATTAATGCTGCAAAAGGGTTGATCCCTACATTTTGGAAGGTCCAAAAGACCCCTAAACTAAAGGATTGAATAAAGAGGGTAGAATATATACAGTGGGGATCGAAAGTTTGGGCACCCCAGCTAAAAATGTGTATTAATGTGCATAAAAAAGCCAAGGAAAGAT